GTTTTCTGAAATGGATTGAATTTAATTTCAAGAAAAATGACTTTGGTGTTCATGGAATGAAATAAATGTGAAGCAGTGAAATCTGGCTGTGAATGAGTTTTTGCATTTCTATAGTTGGACAGAGCACTAATTTAACAGATGGTTCTTCAAAAATAGATGTGAGATTTTAAAAATAGTTCTTTCCGGCTACGGGAATGTAGGCTCCCGCAAAGCTGCTGGCATCTGGTGAGTCAAGTTGCCATGGTAACAGATTTTCAGGTCAAGACTGTAGTCCAGGTCAGCCCACCCCTCTGTCCCAGGAATAGTCTCTGAGATGGGTCAAGGAAAGGGACATCCTTGACACCACACACTTTCAGTCAAGCCACCAATGCCTCAGGGTCTCTATCTTTTGTCATCTTGATGTAAGAGTTCCAAGGAAGCACTCCTTAAAAACGAACCCCTCAGGTGTTCATTCCTGAGATCTATGATCGTAACTAGTTTCTTCAAATTGCAGGGGTGAATTTTCCTGAAAAGCTTCACTTTTGTGTGCTATCACCAATATTTCTCATTTCTTCTTTGCAGAAGCCACTGTGTGGATGATAACCTTTAAGATCAATATCAGTAGTTGCTGACATGGTTATCTCAGGAAGATGGGACTATGAGAGATTTTCACTTTCTATGTCTTATATTTCTGTGACATTTATATTTATTTTATTTTATTTTATTTATTTATTTAGACAAAGACTTGCTCTGTTGCCCAGGCTACAGTGCAGTGGCATCAGCTTAGCTCACAGCAACCTCAAACTCCTGGGCTCATGTGATTCCCCTGCCTCAGCCTCCAGAGTAGGTGGGACTACAGGTACACACCACCATGCCCAGCTAATTTTTTCTATTTTTAGTTGTTCGGCTAATTTCTTTCTATTTTTAGTAGAAACAGGGTCTCACTCTTGCTGAGCCTGGTCTCAACTCCTGACCTCAAGTGATCCTCCCACCTCGGCCTCCCAGAGTGCTGGGATTACAGGTATGAACCACTACACCTGGCTGACATTTACATTTTAATAAGCAGATTTTTTTGTGTGCTCAAGAAATGATAAAGAAGCTCAACTTCTAAGAATTTGAAAATATCTATATAAATAAAAGAAAGCAGACATTTACTTTTATTTAGAATGTCAAAGTTTCATTTTTTTCAAAAAGTCAATTGATGGGAAAAAAACAAATTCTGAGCCAGGTGTCCTGTTTGTGTCATTAAGGTACACATTGCCAAGAGGGCCGGCTGTCTTGCTGTTCTTTCTCTGTCTCATGTTTGTCGACCTTATCTTCCCTGAAGATTATAAGCTGCTTTCCCCCCACCTGCCAGTGTCCTCCCTATCATTAAGTTGCAGCATAGATATCTTTGCTCAGTTGAATTGAATGACCATGTTAGGGGAAAAAATGTTTTTCCTTGAAACATCTAGATAATCAACGATATTAGAAGATTTTTTTTAAAATGCTGAAGAAAAGTTTCTTTTAGCCAGACCAACATTCAGAATGTCACCCCTGAGCCAGTCTTGGCAAATACTCATTTTATAGAACAAAGACAGCACTTCCAGATCCAAGAACCCTGTTCAATTTTTTTAAATAAAGAAATTTCATTTTGTCATCTCACACTTGAAAATAAAATTGCCATGCAGACCCAGCTCATTTGCAGAGCAACACTTGGTAACATTCTTTGTCTGACACCCAAATACAAGGAACCCAAGGTCTGGTTCATTTCCCATCGCGGCTGAGCAGCATCAGGGATTCTAGTGAACTCCATGGGAGACCCGGGCTGCACTTGCCCAGCCGCCTACCGCAGAGCCTGCTGGGAGGCAGCCTCCTAGGGGAAAGGTGGGCTCCTTCAGCGCACAGTGCCGCTGGGAGCGTCAGTGCCACAGAGACTTAAGCCAAGAGGCGAGGGGAAGGAGCCTTTGGTGAAGGAGGCTTAGGTGGCAAGGATTTTCTCCCCAGTGGGCTTAAAACTTCAAGAGTTAGTGCTTTCCTCATTTCTAAGGAAGCAGAAATTTGCTGCAGGGAAATCACATGTTTTTGGCACTTAGGTTTCTGGGTTTGGGCCCATATGGGTCCATCTGAGGAGACAGGATCTCCCCCCACATTCTGAATAACTTGATAAATTGCATGTTCTCTAAAACTTTCTCGTTCATGGGATAAATTTTTTTTTTTAAAAAAAGATATTTACAAAGAAAGCATTTGATCATCTCAACCTGACTCTGAGCCAAACCATGCCATTTGTTTCTAAAAGTTCTACTTTTCAGAGGAAACAATTTGACTATCATACACGGTGTGCCACCCAAGTGAGCTATGATTACAAGTCAGCAGGAAATGTTTTTGTAATAATAGCAACTTGTAATAATAGCAACAATAGTAACAATAGCCACCATTAATGTAGATATTATCATGTGCCAGGCACTGGGCTAAACACTTTATGGGCAATACCCCATTTAATCCTTACAACAACCTTCTGACGTAAGTGCTGCTATTATTCCCACTGTCCAGTAAAGAAAGCTGAGATTCAGAGAGGTTTAAATGACTTATCCAAGGTCCTATGGCTAATTAACAATTGACATAGAACCCAACCTAGGCCGGGTCAACTCCAAAGCTGTTGCTTTTATCTATAATGTTAACCTTCAGGATAAAAAGAGTCTTGTCACCAACCTGGACCGAAAGTTCCTGGAGGTGTTTCTTGACACTCATCATCCTGGTACTGCAGCGTCTAGCAATGGGCCTCAGGGAACCCAGCAACAAATTCTTTTACTCCATAAATACAATAAACGGTGTGGCACCAACCTCTGTAAGTTTATGACTTTTACTTGAATGAACCATAGCATTACTTTTTTCCTAAAGGCCTGGCTGAAAGGGTAACACAAAGTAACCCAGTTAACATTCTGGCTCTTAGAATGGAATAAGCTTAATGAAATTGCTTCTTATCTGTTGTGTAGTGGGTTGAATACTGTCTCCCCCCAAATTCATGCCCACCGGAACTCCAGAATGTGATCTTACTTACAAATAAGGTCTTCGTAGATATAACCAAGTTAAGATGAGGACATACTGGATTAGAGCGGCCCTGATCCAATGACTGGTGTCCTTATAAGAAGTGGGAACTTTGGACACAGACTCACAGAGAGGAGAACACCACGCAAAAACAGAGACACTCAGGATCTATATCCGAGAGAAAACACAAATAAAAACAAGGACACACGGCGAGAACTCCACGTGATGACAGGGGCAGAGACTGGGATGTCGCGTCTACGAGGTATGCTGGAGCCCGCCAGGAGCTAGGAGAGAGGCGTGGACCAGATTCTCCCCAGAGACCCAGAAGGAACCAGCCCTGCTGACACCTGGATTTCAGACTTCCAGCCTCCACAACTGTGAGAGAAGAAATTTCTGTTGTTTAAGCCACCCAGTTTGTGGTGCTCTATTATAGCAGCCCTAGGAAACTAATAAACAGGGTCTGGGTAGGAAAAATGTCAATGTGAGGGAAGATGCCCTGATCCTCCCAGGCCAGGGGCTACTGCAGATAGCCCATGGCAAGGGCGGCCTTATGCAGGTCAGAAAGTACCCAGCGCCCTTCCCCGGCAGGTACAAGTGCTGGTGACAACATCGTCAGCAGAGGAGTCGGGACGGAAATGGGTTGGACCACTCAGCTCAGCACCTATGGGTGTAGGTGTGCTGTTCAGCACTGTGTGTTTTCGTCACCATCACCGCTGTGGAAGCAAAGGGAGCTGTAGATGTCCTTAAGCCACAGCAGGGTTCTTGCAGGGCTGAGTGTCCAAGACCAAGAAGTATGGTCACATTGCAGCTAGGAAGAGGGTGACATGCAGAGCATGCTGCTGATGTGCTGGGGCGCCGTCTGTCCTGTCACCTAGAGAAGGCCAGCTAACCCATGTTGGAAAGCCACAACTACTTGGTCAAAAAATGGGCCAAAACATTAATATTGGGTGGATAAGCGGGGGCAGGGGCTGGGATCAGACTGAGCAAGACGTGAAGTCAGGCAGGAAGGGGCAGAGGCAGGAAGGGAAGGTGCTGCCTCAGGCATGTAGTACTCTCGGGTGGCCAGAGAGCCCAGTTGAGAACCAAGAGAAGACAGGAGCCACCTCAGGGACAAGTGCCAGGGCTTCCCCCCAGGAGAAGAATGTCAAGGCAGCAGGTGAGGGTGGCAGGATGAGGGGCGCCTCCCTTCCTGGGGCACATGCCAAGGCTGGGGGAACAGAAGGTGCCTTTGGTAACGCATCTCAGGGCAAAGGAAGAGACAGAGACACTTTTGGCATCATGCCACCTGGGAAAACACTATGAGGAGGTCAAACTCAGTCGTGTGAAAGGCCTGATTGTCTCGCAGACTCTCCCTCCACCTGAGGCCCAAAGCCTTCCCTGAGCCTGCAGCCCCAACCCCATCTAGAGTGGCACCTGATGGCCCTGGATGACTGCCAACCCATGTCAGAGTATGGGGTGGGTTATGCTGAAAGGAAGCAATTGGTTAGAGGACCAAGGGGCTGTCTGGGGGTGCAAGGGGGTCAGGGCCAAGGGAGAGAGAGAGAGTCTCCATCCCAAGAGCACTGACCGTTAGAGTAGTGCTGCGAGCACAGCCTGGTGGTCGCGCCTTTGGGAGGCAAGGAGACACATGGAGGGGAGCAGAGGGGCTGCTTCTTGAGCCAAACAGCCTGGGGACATTGTATAGGGTGGAAGCTACAAAGCTGAAGCAAAGCCACTCATAGGACATTCTTCCGGGGCCTGTGTGTGCTTGTCGGGCTCCCCGTGAGGTTGCTCGGTAAAGGACTGTTTCACCCTTCCCCTCTACCTTGCAGGGCATTTCATAAACAATGACAATGCCCCAGTTCAGGCAGCTCCACCTGCCTTGCAGTGCCCAGCCTCGGTGGGCAGGGAGCGAGCACTGTGTGATCACACGGCAGGCTCTCCCTGGACTCTCTCCTGTGTGTCTTTAGCAGATTCCCCCTGGACTGGGGTGGGCCTTCAGAGGGTCAACTTACCTCCCATGCCTGCCACGCTGGTTCCACTCGGGTCATTCGGATGTGGAGCTGAAGGTGGGTCATAGCCGATCACCAAGTCAATGGTGGCCTGGGTAGAAAGAATTCACAGCAGATGGAAGCAGGCAGGGCATCAGCATGTTGTAGACTCACTGCAGACCAATCCAGCAAGAGTCAAAATCTTGGAAGGGGTGAGCGAGGGAACGGGAAAGTGAGAGGGAAAGGGGGCAAGCTGGCACAGCTGGACGGTTCCTATCTTCCCACATGCACGCCAGGTGGAGCGGGAAAGGAGCTACCTGTCACAGGTTGCCAAAAGGCAACTTCATAAACTGGAGTAAAGTTATGACAAGCAAGTGTGTGAACTTATAACTCCATCCTAAACCGGAGATGGCCTCCTGTCACCCAGTTACAATCACAGAGGCTCATTTTAAATGACTAATTTATCTGTTTGCTCATTGATTTATTTGATTATTAATTGCTGAGATTTATTTTCATGCTTCTCTCTAAAAAGAATGTTAAGTGACTACCAAAAATGTATATAAAATGGGGATTCACCAAAGAGGATTTAAAAGGAGGAATTAAGTCTGATTAAAGAGAAAACAAATAGGCAAAGCTCGAAGTTAAACATAATTGCCGTCCTTCCTGCATAAACTGTGACCCCAAAATGCCTAGGGGCCAAAGCAAAACGGGGAAACTGAAAGTGTTAAGCAGCTTTCATTATCAGAGAGGAGGAAACATCCCAGTTCCCTACAGGAGATAAGGTCACTTATACCTAAAAAATCTGAGATAAATTTCTCACCTGGGGCATTATTTTAGGGCAGAATTTCCTACACAACACTTTTATATTTCATGGACTCCACAATTTCCAAAAGTTGGCTAGAGAAAAATCAACATAAGGTTGTGAACCATATGTTATGTATTTTGCCAAACACAGGCCCGCAACTATCATCTACTCTCGTAGTCATTTCATAAAAGAAAGGCATTTTAACACCAAACATGAAAAATGAACCTCATAATAAGGGGAGTCTTTTGTAAATAAGGATCGCACACACACACACACACACACACACACACACACACACACACACACCCTAAGTGACCAGATAAAATATAGGACATAATATGTAGGATATACACACTAAAAAATGTATTCATTGTTTATCTGAAATTCACATTTAAATGGGCATCCTATACTTTCATTTGCTATTATTGCTACATCTGATAAATTCTAACACACACACACAAACACACACACACACACACACAAACACACACACACACACACACACTGAATTGCATTTATTTTTCTCACTTGTCTGCTCATCAGTGAATATTCCCTCATGGATCAGCACACACTATGACCAATCTAGAACTACTGATCTGGGAGACCAGGAACAGGATAAGAACCATGCCCCACCCACAGTTCCACAGCACAGAAGGAACCACATGAGCAGCATCTCGCAGCACCCTGTGCGGAAGACCAGGAGCACTGCGGTTACTAAGAATCAAACTTTTAAAACCTAGAAGAGCACAAATAGCTCATCCCCTGGATCTGTGGTTTTCATGCTGTGTCCTAGTAACCTCGTGATTCCCAGAGGTGCTCCAGGGACCCCACAGGGTGAGGGGAATCCCAGGGGCAGGGCCTGAGGCCCTCTGCCCTCTCACTCCATTCAGTCGCATCAGTCCTGTCACTCTAGGTTCTACACATGCTTTATTCGTGCTTAAAGGAGAAAAGAGAGAGAAAGGGACAAAGAGAAAAAAAGAAGAAATAGCACGGGACAACAAACTAATTGAAATTCCTTAAATGTAATATGGACTGAAGTCTCTCGGTGGGATTGGGGTAAAAGTTATATATAGGCATCTCCATTCTTATTTCAGTAGCATGAACTGCTCACTTAAATGTGGCAACTTCAGGCTGGGCGTGGTGGCTCACACCTGTAATCCTAGCACTCTAGGAGGCCAAGGCGGGAGGATCGCTTGAGGTCAGGAGTTCGAGACCAGCCTGAGCAAGAGCGAGACCATGTCTCTACAGAAAAATAGAAAAATAAGCCAGGTGTGGTGGTTTACACCTGCAGCCCCAGCTACTTGGGAGGCTGAGGCAGGATGATTGCTTGAGCCCAGGAATTGGACGTTACAGTGAGCTATGATGACGCACCGCACTCTACCCAGGGCGACAGAGTGACACTGTCTCCAGAAAAAAAAAAAAGTGGCAACTTCGGATCCATTGACCACTCCTTAAGAAACTAAATTCTAAATAAAGAAAATGGAAAGCAAACAAACAAAAGCAGGCAGAGCAATCACTGACTTCTACCATCTTTCCTGAGCATCATTTCTTTCAGCCAGGTTTGGGTAGAGGGGTGTTTCAGCCAGTGTTTTGAATTTGTGTTTTATGATTACAAGGCTGATTCATAGCAAGCCTATAAGTTTTGGAGACTAGACCAGCAAAGCTGACATTGTCTCATATGGGCGTTGAGAAGCCTCGCCTGTATTCTTGTCTATAGGATGTCCTCTTTTGGGGTAAAGTTTTCTCCCTTTGCCCAGGCTCCCAAGCAAAATAAGTTGATTGGAAAATAAAGGGGTTAGAGGTTATGGGCCGAGCATGGAAGCTTTATGAGCGCTTCTTAGTAATCATGTGAAATCTGGGACCTGTGACACTTGAGTCATTTTTTTTTTAAGCACACACACTTGAGAAAGAATTCTGCTGTCACATCAGTACGTACTTATTTAGAGAAGCTGTGATCAGAAAATATCCAGCTACCAATGCAACAATAAAAATTATGATTCTACCATCTCGATATTCCAAGGGAATACTAATGAACTACCTTCTACAGAATGTTTCAAAGAGTGTCTGAAACACAGAACTAGAATAATCACACACACATCAACACCCACAAGGATAAGCACAGAGCTATACCCAGAGGGGTCCCACTCACTATATGGAATTCTGTCAAAGAAAATCAAATTTATCTAACTTGCCGGTTCTGTGATTGCAAGTATAAAATAAGGCCCACGTCATTTGCAAATAGACCCATTTATCTCAAAACAAGATTTCTGCTTTTTGTGTAATCAGCTAATTATCAATGCATACTTTTCTCTTAATGAACTTTTGCTTAAGCATCTCACTGCTAAGCCATTCGACAAGAGGGAAAAGGCTCACCCCGGTGTCTTGCCCCCTTTCGTTTAGCAGGGAGATCAGTTTGTACGGTAGTGATCTGCTCTGGTCACCGATCAGGTCCTTCAGGGCCACGGTCGCCGTGCCAATTAACCTGCAGGGGAACAAAAAAAGCAGAGAGCAGCCTAAGTAGGAGGCATTCTCCACTGAGTCAGGGCCTCCCAGACCACTGCCTATCCATGTGTTCTCACTAAAGTCATCTCATAAGGAGAGGTGGGCCATTTTGTTCTCAGCCTCACCGGGTATTTTGTCAGTACACACGACCTGTCTGCCCTCCCTTCTCCATAACAAGTCACCACTCAGGAGCCAATCTCTGGTGCCTATAAAATTTCAACAGTCATGAACATGAGACACATGAATCTATACCCAGAGAGGTAAAGACTGAATACAGCCCCCCAGAATCTAGGCACAGAGAAAAGTAGGACAAAATTCAGTAAGAGACGAAGGTGTTCATCTATAATGGAAACGTAAAAGCGTCCATAAATCTTTGCCCACTGTAAAAGTGTCCCCCCAAGTAGACCTCCTAGAAGTGTGAATAGGTTGCTAGTTTGCTGAGGGGGCTAACTTGCTACCCCAGGTACTCCGGTGCAGCATTAGAAAGTTCAATGTGTTCACTTCTCTCTCCTTCTAGACCCTGAGGGGTTGTAGTCAGCCTCTATCATTTGCCCATCTCTCTCTTAAAGCACATAGCACGTTGGGACGGAAGTACCCTTGTGTCCCTGCTCACGCATGACGCCCCCTAGAGGCAGAGATTGCTGCCTGTTTTGTTCACTCCCCTAACCTAATGCCAGAACATAGTAGGTTCTTAACAGATAATTCCTGAATGAAGGAAAGAATAAATACATCTTCATATATTGCGAATGAATATCCCAAATATTTTCTTAGTTAGGGAACATGATCAAAAATATTTATAGAACACACATTCCCTAGGGAGTTAGTTAATATAAAAATGTAACCTATGGAAAATAAGCTGTAAATTGGGGGTTATAACAAAACACATTGGGGGTTAAAACAAAACACATAACACTGATAAATTAAAGAAGTTCCCTGTGAGAAACACAATCGGAAAGGCAGTTACAGCCCAGGGGTGTGCTCTCAGTATGGACGCGGAAATAGGAAAAGAGAAACAATAAGCATTTTTAAATGTTACTTATATCCTGCCTACATTTGCAGGAACTTATACTAATACCTGGCAGACATGATAGAACAGAAAATCATTACCATAAAAATAGAAAGCTAAGTATTTAAATTGATAATAGAGATTCCTTCCCAGGGTGAACAACAAATCCAGAGCAAGCATTTTTATATAACTCTGGGCTTTTGGGCAAAATAATAGTCAGGAAAATTCATCTTTACAGAAAAAATTCATTTTATTTTAAAATATAATACAGTTTCTTTCAGAAATCAGGAGGTACAAGTTGATTGCCAGAGGTGCTCCAGGGATGCCAGGTGGCCATGTGGGCACATCATTTTTGAAGTGAGAGATACATACTGTATCCATATTCTCCTCCCCACCCTCAGTCCTCAGAAATAAACTAGACTAGAACTGGGATCTGCAACCCAATCACATGTATCCGGTGACTTGGCGATATTAATATGTAACTTCACTTTCTGTGAACAGATATATTATATTGCACTAGACCAGGAAATTGCTATAGCACCCTGTTTCACCCATTTACCCAATGATATAAGCCTTTTGTACACGGTTTCTTGGAAGAGTGCACTTTCTTATACAGCACACTACACAGACTCTCAACAACTGTGATGGCTTCTCACTTCTTCTAACATCACAAGCAGGGTCTGCAGTTGGCAATGCAAAAGAAAAATTTTGCCTCCAGAGAAATAAGAGTGAACTTTTTCAGTCCTTTTAGGTCAATACAGAAATTAGGTCTCCCAGTCAATGCTGAGAATTGGTGGGAAATTTCTCCTGTGTTTTTTTTTCTCTCT